GCGCGGGCGCTCTGGTTGGAACGGCCTGGGGGGGGGGGTCGGTCGATGAGGAACTCGGCCCAGAGAACAGAGAAGGGGTAGGAGAGATGCCGGTGGCGTCTGGAAACGGACCCCACGTGGAGAGGACAAGGAGGACCGCCAACTAGCTGCCCTGAAGCGGCTGTTTGGGAAGAAGTCTCCGAGTGTTCTTGAGGTGGAGGGCAGGGCCAAGACAGACACCCAGCCAGGTGTCACGGAGGGGGCAGTGAGTTGGATCTGAAGAGCAGTGGGTCCTGCTGGCCTCTCCTTCAAGATCCATGGGACATTCTGGAGTGGGGTGGGGAAGCCTGGGGACAAGACGCTAGCAGGGGCTGCTGTGTCCGGCCTCGGTGCTGGTGTGGTGTCTGAGGAAGTGGGTGCGGTCCTCTTCCTGTGTGGCCTGAGCAGTAAAGGTCGCTCAGGGCTGTGTTGTGCATCCTCCGCTCTGGGACGGCATCCTGGCCCTGCCCGCTCCGGCCACCTGGCTGTACCTGCGTTCCCAATCAGGAACGAGGGATCAGCACAGGAGAGCTGCCTGGGCTGGCCGGGAACGTGTTTTTAGAGTGCTGGGCCAAGCGGAGCACGTAGGGCTCTGTCCAAGGCGTCCCACCGCACATCTGCACAGGTTCAGACACACTTGTCACTTTATAACTGTAATGGACGGGGTGGGGGTGGGCATCCGACAAATTTTCACAACATCTGGCACAGTCTCTTATGGTCAATCTTTCATAATAAATATTCGAATGATTGGGACTTTAGGCTTTAAAGGTAAACTATTCCAGAGAGAAGTACGTGGAAACTAAGTCACCTAAAGAACCCGGATCAGGTAGCAATGGGCATTGGAATACCACTGCTGGGAGGGCCCTTCCAGATGTGGGCACACGCAGGCCAAGGAGAACGGCCTTGACAGAGTCAGAGACCTCTGGTCCTTCCTGGGGAAATAAGGCTAACATCTCTGAAGCCTCTAGACAGAGGAAAAGTATCTCAAAAGTGGACTGAGAGGTGGCGGTCCCGGGAAGGCTGACTGGAGTGGAGACAGAACTAGAGGAGAAAGCCAGAGAGCTATCACTGGCTAAGGATGTCTGTGCCAGGAGGCTCCAACGCCCAGGGCACTGCGCCCCGCAGCTGCCGCTCCTGCAGCGAAAAGCTCTGGGTGCGTATGCGGCTTGTCACTTCCTGGGTGCGCAGCGTGAGCCCGAAAATGTCCTCGTGGTAGCGTTGCTGATCCTGCAGGGAAAGAACTCAGCAGGTCAGAATTCCAGCCCTAGATGGAGTGGGAACCTCGCCAGTCTTGGGCAGGGTTCCCGCCTAGGCCCCGCCCACGCCTCCAGGCGTGGCCCCGCCCATCTGGCTCGGGTCCCGCCCCTGCCAGGGCCGCGCCCCTCTGCACCCGCAGCACGCCGATGACATCTCCCGCCGCGTCCAGCTCCATGTCGCCCTCCGTCGCCAGGATTCGCTGCACTGTCTGTAGGACGCTTGTTGCCATGGTGACATCGCCGCAGACAAACATGTGGCCCCGCTCGAGGCACAGCACGCGGTACACCTCAGCTGCCAGCTCAGTCCTCAGGATGTCCTGCACGTAGGTCTGAGGGGAGGCGGGGTAGGGTGTGAGAGGACTCCGGGGCGGGCCAGGTGGGGCCTCCCGCCGGGGTGGGGTCTGGAGAGGCGGAACCCAGCCGGGCGGACCTGGGTGCAGAGGCGGGCAAGCCCAGAAGGGACGTGGGCATGAGTGGGGACTTGCGGCTCAGTGCTCTTGGGTAGGGGGGAGGGGCTAGCCTGGGTCGGCGAGCCCTGCTGGGGAGCCCCTGTCGCTCCTGCGCCCTCGGGGGACGCACCTTGGGGCTGTCAGGCTCCCGGGAGAAGGCGGTGAGGACGCGGCCGAACACCCCGCGCTGCTGAGCGTCCTGCACCTCGTCGCGGTAGAGGTGGTCGAGCTGGGAGCAGCGGCAGCCGAACACCAAAGTCATGGGGGCGGGCTGCAGTCCTGCAAGCAACGCTGCGCTGGGGAGGGTCCCCGGGACTGGGCACAGCCCTCGTGAAGCCTCCCACCCCGGCCACCCTCGCCCAGGCTCCAGCCCAGCCTTTTGGGCTACAGCAAAGCTGTCTGGGCTGTTGGCTCCTAGGGGATTCAGGAGGCTTCCGCAGAGACGCTGCCGGTCCTGATTCGCAGAGGAGGAAGGCGGAGCTCACAAGCAGCGAGGGCTTCCCTCAGGCGGATGGTCAGCCAGAGCTCCGGAGTGGGGCCTCGGACTGGGGCTCCGTGCTCTTCGTGTGGTGTGACACTAACCGCCCCCCTCATGTTCTCCCACACACTCAGCCTGCTTCTCAGTCATGGCCTCCCTTTCTTTGATTGAGAACTGCTCTGGGCACCCCATGCTGGTCCTGAACTTCTTAGACCTTGGGTATGGCTAGGTGAGGTTGGGCAGGATTCAGAATCCCTCTGGGGCACATTAACAAATTAAATCCCTCTGGCAAATTTAAAAAAAAAAAAAAAAGGAAGACGTGCCAGTTAGGGGGCATAGTGTTAAGTTGGCTGGATCCCACATGGCCAAGTACCCAGACCAGGCAGTCTGAGAAGCACGCAGGGTACTCGTGCATGTGTGCCTAAACCCCAGAGAGGAGCGTGGAGGAAGAGGGATCGTGGCATGACTGTCCTCCTGCAGGGATGCCCTCTCATTTTCTCTATACCTCTTTGTCTCTTTCTGATGAGCACACACACCCTATAGCAAAACTAAAAAATTAAAAAAAAAAAAGGAAACTTAATCCAACTATGGTATTAAAGGTTGGAGCCTTTGGGGCCAGCAGGTGGCATGGAGGTTAAGGTTCTAGATTTCCATATGGCCAACTGCAGTCCCAGTCCTGGACCCAGTGGCGTGAAGATCATGCTGGGCACCTGTGTGTGCATGCCCAAAATCCCCAGAGGAGAATGGAGGTGAAGGGACTGCGGTGTAGCCATGCCCCGGAGGGTGATTTCTCATTTTCTCTCTCTCTCCATGTCTCTCTGTCTCTTTCTGACGAGCACACACAACCTATGGCAAAAACCTGAAAAAAAAATGGTTGGAGCATTTGGGAAATGATTAGGGTGAGGCCGGGTGAGTGACTCCTGCTAGTTTTATAAGCTGAGAGAGCAGAGACAGAGACATGGGCAGAGACACACGCGCCCTTGCTCTGTCTCGCCATGTGATGCCCTGCACTGCCTCAGACTCCAGAGTCCCCACTGATAAGATGCTCTCCAGATGTGGCCCCTTGGCCTTGCACCTCCATGCCGAATAAATGAATATTCTTTATACAAGTCACCCAGGCTCAGGTATTTCCATTATTAGCAACACAGCAGATGAAAACACCTACTATCAGACATCTTCCAAAGTTCACAGGAAGTGAGTATTGTGAAAAAGGCATGCATAGATTTAAAAATTTGTTGCACCAAAATTCAATCGTACTTTAATTCCATCTCCATGAATATTGGTGCCGGGCACCAGGAAACCAGACAAGCAGGGCCTGGCCCTTGCCCCCCAGGCCCTTTCTTGCCCTCAGCTTATAAGCTGCTTTTCACCTCGTGGCTGGTTTTTTCCCTCCCCTTTCTTACCAATCCCGCCTTCCAGCCCTGGGTGCCTACACTGCTGGCTTCCTCCTGCTCCGGTCAGCCCCAACCCGCGGCCCTCAGCCTCACCTTTGCTCTCAATGTCGTGCAGCCGCTCCTGCCAGAATCCCCGGAAGGGGGCGATGCCGGTGCCAGGACCCACCAGAATGCAGGGCAAGCTGGGGTCAGGAGGCAGGCGAAAGGAGGGAGCCCTAGTCGGAGGGACACTCCGTCAGGCCCCCTTTGCCTCCCTTGTCCCCCTTTCCTACTTTGGGTGGGAGAGGAGAGCCCCAGATCATTGTCAAGTCCTCAGACCAGCGGCCACAGCAAGCTCCACGTCAGTGTTTATTAAACTCTATTTGTAGACAGAAACTCTGGAGCTGTGGTTTCTGGACACTGGGCCAAAAATATGGGTGAATTGGATTGAAGAGTTCTTAGATGGCTCAGTTTAAGCGATTTACACGTTACAGGCGCGGGGAGGGCAGACTCGGTTCATAATGGATTCACGCAGCGTGTTTATTTCACAGGACAGCTTTACTACTGGTATTTGGCTCGCGTTCAGGGGATTGGTACAGTTTATTTGTAATCAAGCCTCCTGGGTGGGTTTGGATCCCTGGGGCTTAGCTGTGCGTCCTGGGACACTTCAGTCCCACTGACTATAGGCCACAGGGGCGGGGGGAGAGCAAGACTCCAGGCACAGCATGAGGGAAGGTCCCCGGGAGCCCTCGCCTTCACCGCAAGCCTTCAGTGACACTATGCCCAGGGGCGGTCTTACACTCACTACCTCTCCCCAGAGAGAGTGGGAAATGGGACCACAGTTCTCAGGTGCCACACCTCCCGACATCAGGCTGAGTTCAAGGACAGAGAGAGGACCAAGAAAGCCGTACTTTGACAAGCAAGTGTGGTGGCTGGTTGGCTTCCAGCTCTGTCTGAGCGGTGTTTCAGTGCGGGACCCCGAGTCCAAATTCCCGAGAGGCCCAAAGCTCAGCTAAGTTCTGAAGTGACCTAATGGCACTCCAGCCTTGATCTGGTAGGGAACCCCTCCCTGCTTCCAGCAGCACTGCCCCCACGCAGCCACTGATGGCTCGCTCTGTCCCCGGCCATCCACGCACCACTTTCTCCACTCGTGCCCCGACACTCTCTCCTCCACGTCTCTCGTCCCCCACGGCCACTCACCCTCTGATGAAGCAGGGCACAGGGTCTCCGGCCTTCAGCTGGCTCAGCCACGTGGAGCAGACTCCGTAGTGCAGGGGGCCCAGCCCATCTAGGGGTGGGGAGGAGAGGCCAGTGAGCGGCCGGCCCCTTCCTGCTGCCGCCAGCCCTCCGGCTCCCAGCCTCACCCTGGGTCCTGTATGCCAGCACGGCCACAGTGAGGTGCAGCTCTCCCGGGTGGGCGCTGGGCGCAGAGCTGACCGAGTAGTACCGGGGCTGGAGCAGGGGCAGCTGGGTGAGGAGCAGTGGGGCCGGCAGGGCCACGGATGGGAACTGCTCCAGCACCTCCAGCAGCGTGGGGCAGCGGAACCACTTCCACTCCTCGTAGCGCCGGGGGTCCTAGAGGAAGGGCACTCGACGCTGTGAACCCACAGGCCCTCCTGGCGACCTCCTTCTGCCCCCTCCTCCAAGAAGAGCCTCCTGAGGGTTTCTCCATTTCCATTCAGCCAACAAACGTTCCTTTGAGACTCAGAATCCCAAGGTGAGCTAATCTTTCTGGAACTGGGCCTTAAAGCACCAGGCTGGACCTCGCGTGGGGGCTTGCTGCCCACTCCCCGGCTCTGCCCTCCAGCCCCTGCTCCCACTGGGCAACCCCACCTGGCTGAGGGCCTCCAGCTCCTGCTGCTCGCTGGGCTCCTCGGCCAGGGTGCTGAGCAGCTGCAGGAGCCGCGGGCTGGGCGGGGAGGTGATGTCCAGGAAGAAGGTGAGAGCCTGGCGCAGCGTGCACGGGGGCAGCCGGGGATCCCGCGCCCAGCCGGGAGGAGGGCCGCCTGCGGGTGGTGCACAGGGAGTGCTGAGGAAGGCCTGGGCAGGCCCCTGTCTCAGGCCTGGCCGCGTCTCAGTGCTTCAGAGCAAACCTGGTCTTGAACAGTGTGGGGCCTGGCCAAGCAGCCTTGGTGTGTTTTGGGGGTTCCCAGTTGGACTGGGTCGGTCTAGGCTTCCTTGCCCTCCCCCCACTTGACTATTTTAACCCCAGGCACTGATGTGGCAGGAGGCAAACCTAATGCCAGCTAGGAGCCAGAGGAGGTGTTGGGGAAGGCCTGGCAGGGAGGACAGCCTTTGGAGACCGTGTGAGGGTCTTTGGGCCACCCAGCAGCAAGATCAACCTGGTGGGGGCACAGCCAGTGCGGGCGTGCGAGCCCTGGGTGCTGGACTGGGAAGGGGGTGGCTGCCCACTGGGTCTGGGGCCGGCTCACGGCTCACGGCTCATGGCTCACGGGGCTCTGCCGCCTGCCCGGCGGGCCCTCACCAGGGCTGCCCTTCTCCAGCTGCTCCACTGCCACAGGCTCTGCAAGCGGGGGGGGGGGCCCCCCCCGGGGCCCGCAGGCCC